TAAAATTCTGAGTTTTTTGTTCTGATTCTGTATATCATGGTATTTCCATTACATCAACATATAAAAAGATGGACCACATGACAGCTCAAAACAAAGAGAACATCTTGATCGCCCCCTGGTGGCTGGCTGCAGTATAGGTCAAAAAGCCCACTGCCTCCATGTTAGAAGATTGATCAAACTAACAAATAAAGTTTGTGTCTGCAGGTCTCTGTGGAGTCCGCCATGTTGAACCGCCATGAACGAACAAACCAAAAACTGGCACTAGAGAGACGCTTGAAAGGGGAAAAATAAAGCGAGGGTGCTGCAATCTGCAAATACACTGCTAGATGTCACTACATCCCACACACTGGCCATTTAAAAACTAAAGACTATTTAATTTGATTTGAATGTTTTTTGTGACTGATATATACATTTGTTTAAGGTCTGAAGATTTGAAAAGTTATTTCATATGCATACTATATACTATTCAATATAACTTATATTGTTAAATATACAGTATGGATGAATAAGACAGATGCACATACATTGCACAAAAATATAAATAAAATATCACAGCTCTATCAGAGTGTTTTCAAAATAGTAAAAAGAGTAATCTATAAACATGATTATACTTTCCTATCCTCATTTTTAATAGTGCTGTGTATTGCCAAGAATCTGGCGATACAATATGTATCACAATACAGGGGTTATATGATTTAGTATATTATGATATATTTGGATACTGTAAGCAAGGCAATATAGAAGTTTTGTTAAATAAAATTTGAGTTTGAACAGAACAGTGGGATCTGCATTTGTATTTATCATAGTCCTTATAACATCCAGTATCATAGCCCTCAGTTTACATTTACAACACTGCTATCTAGCAAAAATCAATGTAGTGTTTTTGAAAATCAATACCATATCACAAAACAAAATAGATATGCACGATAGTAAGGCTATACGATACAGGGGTTACGATTTAGTATACTGTGATATATTACACATCATCGTCATATAGTATAAAGAACACACCACTATATCACAAAACAAAATATTTTCTTTTGGTCATTTTGAAACTGTTTGGATGCCGACAGCACACAGAAGCTCACTCTGTCAGGGAACACACAGGTCTCAGCTGACAGCAGCTTGTGTCTGTGTGTATGTAAACAGTTTATTCAGCAGAGTCTCCTCTGCCTGTCCAGCAGGACAGTGAACAGACGTGTTAATGCTTTTGATGATTGTTGGAACGCAGCAGAGCCCCATGCACACACAGTCACTAGCAGCTCTTTTCTCACTGTAGTTATGGACAGCTCCTGTCTTACATTAGGCAGATCCTCTCAGTGCGGGCCTGCCGGGTTGGACACCCTCAGTGAGCCAACATCCTGCAGCTACTAGCTCTTATATGGCTTAAACACTACGCTACCAGATCTGTGTCTGGCATTCCAGCACATAGACAAACCAGGTGGCACTAATACCCACACCGCTATTTACAGAAAAGGCCGGTGCACTGTGTTTACTGCACTGTGTATGTTGCAGAGTGCACAAACTGCAGCTACCTGCTCTCACATAGAAGCCCGTAAGACAGAAGTCTGGGAGAGACATCACACATGAGCGATAGTCCTTAGTGAGAACAGGAAAAAACTAGTCCAGTTTCAGTGCTGTGTGTTTACTGTGTTTTTTTTTTCTATGTTAAATATAATGTGTCACATTCGACCTGATAATAATTTTACATGCATTATATGTAGCTACACTCAAGAGTTAAGATTTAAAGGATTACATCCTCAGAAAGGAAAAGATAGATACTTTATTTATTCCGAGGGAAATTCAAGATGTCTTTTCTCTATTCACACTCCTGCTGAGAGTTCAAACCCTCTGGTTCAGACCCCATGTGAGCTCACTGGAATCTCTGAGACTAATGTTTTATTAATTTTTATTCATGACATTAATTTGAAAGCTTGCAGGGTGTCATGATCTGTTTGCTGCTTGCTCTTGAGAACTGAATCCATAAGCACGTCATACTCAAGTTCACATGACTCCCTGCCAGCTTTCTCATTGCTGGTGTCATGAGAAATTGGGCGTCTAGAAATGAGGTCATGAAGCCTGACCCACTGTCCATAACACACCTGCAGTGTGTCCTCCAGATCTGCAAACACATGCTCAGAGAGAATTAATCAGTCCTCCCCTGAAAGTATCAAAAAAACACAACTAGGAGGCTCGTACCTGTCAAAGACCACGGCGGAGAAACTGGGCTCTGCGAAGACCACTTCCCCAGCGCTGAGCTCCTTGGTGGCCCTCAGGCCTCGACCTTTCTTCCCTGCATCAAACAGCTCAGCGCTCTCCATGTTCCCCACAGTCATTGTACTGGCCAAACAAAACACAGAGCAGACAGAGGAAGGAGAAAGTGGCTGAGGGTGGGACAGGCCAAGGGATAAGGGACTAAACAAGCGGCAGGGAGTGGAGAGTTCTCATCAAATTCTCACTAACATTCAGGGGCACTTGCCCCCTCTCTCCCTAGCCCGACCCCTGCTACATCCAAAAATAAATTCGCCCCCTCTAGGGGTTGTACCACCTCCCCAGTGTGGGCAGGGGAGTGGGCAGTGGGAAATGAGATGACCTGGGGGAGAGCAGGGGGAGGCAGCGGAGGTAGAGGTAGTCTGTGGGTGTCGTCCCCTTCTTTGGGTTGGGTGCCTCCTGTGGTATTTTGGTCTGGGGCAGCTGTGGCTGTCTGTCAGAGGCACATGACAGGAAACGGACACACTCAGATTCAATGGCAGCCTCTCTGCTGTATCTGTTTTTTAAATACTTAAATACAGTACAGTGGGGGCGGTCCCAGACCCTTCCACCCAGCCAGTAACCCTTAAAGTGGTCTTTAAAGGAGCTGTAAGTGATATTTATTTTGTTAAAATAAGTGTTAATAGCTCTACATTCCGACAACTATCACTGATAGTGTTCAGTCAATAACATGGATCCCCCAATCCCTCCTGTACAGAATACAGTTACACTTTATCCAATCAGGAGAGAGAACTCCACAAAGAGGCGGTCCTTAAGGGCAGGCAGCAGAATTTCAGTGTGGTGACCTGGAAAGGAGGGAGGGGACTGCTAACTGCAAGAATAGACAGAGAGTCTGCTGATTTTCACTTCCAGCGCCTTTTAATTTAATTACTTATTTTGGTCACTTGGGGGCGGCAGAACAATATGTAAACAAAACATTGACATATAATCAGCAGTGGATATATCAGAGCTGTTTTGCTAAAACTTTGCTGCCTGCTGGGAACGAGGTTGATGAGAGCAGAGAAAGTTAACCAAAACATTAAAGTTGCAGGTTGGCCACCGTTGTTTCTCCCTCACACTTCTGAAACTACACCGCTAGATGCCACTAAATCCTACACACTGGACCTTTAAGTTAAGTTATCCTTTATTGATCACTGTAGAGAAATTCATTCTCTGCATTTAAACTATCCCAAGTACTGTAGTAGTGGGCAGCCACTGTGTAGCACTCAGGGACCTTCAGTTCTAAGCCATTGCCCTTGACCTAGGGCCCTTAATAGGCTTCGATCCCGTTTTGCTGTGAGGTGACAGTGCTAACCACTGATCCACCCCGGTCACGTCGGTCAATTTATCATGTATATTCATGTTTACCAGAGGATGAATCCTAGTATTTTAATAACTTTTTGATGATTTCAACCAGCATCAGGCTGTTTTTTGTACATTAGGGCTGTCAACAAATATTCTAAATTTGATTATATAATGGATTAGCAAAAAACAATTTGATTTTGAAAATTAATGATCGGTTGTGGAAAAAAAAGCAGTTACACAAATGCAAGCCTCACATCCAGGACACGGACATGTACCATCACTAAAGGAGGCAGGGGAATAGCTAAACATTTTGCACCGAGCAACAGAGCGCAGAAGAAGGGGAGAAAAGTCATTGCTAACCACTAAACTAAAGCATTGTGGCTAGCAGAAGTGAACAGCGTGGGATTAGGGACAAAGTGGCTAAAATGAGAAGGCTATGTCTTCTATGTTAGTACAATCATGGTCCCCACAGGGTAAACCTTTATTATTTTGATGACCACCCTCAAGACAAACGTTACATTTTAAGCTCTGGCAAAGCATGAGGAAGTACAGTGTATAAACTGAGTATGCACACAGGTCAATTGAATTTCTACTTCATTATGGATTACTGCTGACTTGTAACTTTTAATTGATTGTTCACATTGAAGAAATAATTGGAAATATTTTATAAGTTGTTTGGAACTCTAAGTTGCTATAAAGTGGTATCTTTATATCATTTTTATATACCGTGATATTTGTGTCTGTAGATAATCTTTTTGCCAGGTTGTCACTGTAAGGTAAATAAACTGTCTGTTACAGTAGGTTTCAATGGCATGCATAATAAGACAAAAAATAACAACTACAGAACAACCTCAGTATTGCATTTCTGTAATATACAGTTACAAGTTTACAAAACGGATTTGAATAAGGAAAGCGTGTACAGAGCAATAATTTTCTATCAATATAAAAAATAATAAGACACATTGAGGAATGTGTGAAAAATATTTTGAGTGGGACATAAAGAGTGAAAAAAAATTCTCTCACATGGGCTCAGCAGCATTAACCACTAATCTAACTATTCAGAAAATACAGCATCTCATTAACATAGTTTACATCCAAAGTAAGGCACCTTGAAACTACAACCTCCAGACTTCACTAAAATGTAGGACACAGTTTGGGGTCACAGCACAACAAGAACATCAGTATCAATATCAACTGATTTAAATAACCACCCATTTTTGACAAGACAAGCACTTAATAGCACAGAGGGTGGGTGGATATGATGTGAAATCAACCACAGAATAACAGCACAGATACAGCCACAGTTTCCCTCTGAACTGAGGACGGTTTCACAGATTAGGTCCTGTAACATAAAAAGCAGCACAGTGAAATTCATCCATGATGTTGGATTTTGGTCCTGTTTTGAAATGAAGTGGTCTTAATTAGTGCTATAGGCTAATTATCAAATGATTGACACTCAACGTTCCCTAAACCCCACCCATCAACTCATCTGGTGCTGCTTAATGTAAATCGGAAGAAACCTGGCTTAACTAACTCTTCATGTTTTTTGTTCATTATTTGTTTGTTTATTTACGTATGGTTTTGGCATATTGTGTACGGTCTTCATTTCTCATTTTGGTCTTTGGTTTACAACATATTTTTTGTTTGTTGTTTCTTTGCACACCATTAGCATTTTTTTTAAATAACATTATAGTTTTGGTTTCTTATAAAAGCTTTTATCATGGAGGCCTAGCACTGAAGACGCACAACCTATAATGATGTGATTCCAGCTGCGAATCTCTGTTGCATGACATACTCCTTTTTCTCTCCCTGCATCTCCTGCCTGTATCTCTATCACTATCTAATACAGGCAGAAATGCCCCCTAACTCTAGATTTGAACTGGATGAAGGATTTTAGTCATCGGAAGTCTGGAGTTATCAGAGAAACAAGCTGAGTAACGTTAGCAGCAGCTCGGCTCGCAGCCCCTCTGGGACGTCCTTTGTCTGTCCAACAGGTGGGAGAAGCAGTGATTTTAAGGTGGAACTGCTTTATTCAGTGTTTTTAGTGTTTTTAATCAGTGCGTTTGTTTGTTTTGGAGGAGGAGGAGACCTCTGTGGATAACTGGGCTCCCAGTAAAAGGTAGGGAGAAGCTGACTGCAATGGTGGTGTTGTTACTGTTTTGCTGTGAAAGACACCATAGTGGCAGAAATGACAGGTCCTGTCCTGTATGATGATGTCCTGTGAGCTGGAGATTACTCATTATAGCCTGATACACCTGAAATAAAGCATCGGTTCATCTACAAATGGCTTCCTGCCACATAGCAAATGAGGCTTCTTATGTTCCAGTCATTGTTCACCACTATGATCTTGGGAGTGCTCAGAGCAGCCATCTTGTTACCTACCACGTTTTTTTTTAAAGTGTGTTCTTCACACTTTAAAGCCTATATGACTTGATAGTCAGACTTTAGCAACTTCTAATGGCAATATCAAAAATATTATTATATTGGTCTATTTAACAACAGAGGGCTACAACCTATAGACTGACTGCAGAGTCAACTTCACTTACAACTGCAGTCATTAATAGGTATAAATTAATAGAGTTCCATTTAAAATCAAGGCACATTTATAAATAATCTGGCTCGATGCTAACTGGCTGCGAGTACTCGTGCTGGGTCTAGAGGTCATAGACGTCGACGTGAGCTCCTGATGTGTACGTGTCTTCCAGCAGCAGCTTCATCAGCTTGGTGCAGGATGCCTCACAGGTGAGCAGCTGGCTCTGAGAGAACATGTCTGAAAAGGACTTCCTGATGCTGGGATCAGCCGTTCTGGATCTGGCTGCTGTCTGCATGGCTGTGTCCAGAGGCCCTGGTTCAATGCAGAGGACAGACATGAATAGAATTAAAGGGTTAAAGAAAACAACAAAATTATGGTTGGAATGCAGAGAACAAACACATCTGTCTGCCTGCAGAGTGTTTCTATTACTGCTTATTGTTTTGCTTTAGTGAATTCTAATAAATTTAACATTATATTTTGAACTTTCTGTTGGAAAATACTGAAAAGTTCCCTTATAGAGAGACTCAAAGAGGTCAATATTGAATCAATAAAACAAAAATAGGACATTATCAAATAAATGATCATATGAACTTCCTCACCTGGGGAGTAGTTGAGCACCCTCAGGTCGGGCTCCTCTTCTGCCAGCACCTTGAACATCATCTCTCTGGCTGCCTTGCCGGTGCAGTACAGCACCCAGGAGCGGAAAGGCTGCAGGGCGCACAGCGAGGTGATGTTGATCACGGTCCGCTGCAGACCTGGGCGCTGCGGGAAGGCCTGCAGGATGCCGGCGGTGAGGCAGAGGGAGGAGCTGACATTGAGAGACAAGTAAGAGTCCACCTCGGTCATGTCGGTGAAACATTTGGCGTAGCGGGACACGTCACCGAGAGAGGCTGGGATGAGAGGGAAGGAGGTGTTACTTACTGTGTCTATCCACATTCATAGAGAATTTCCATCAACTAATATTATGCAAATATTCTCAAGAGGAGGCAAAAGATTGTGTAATTGAAAGAAGGTTTCACTCAAATCCTGCTTGGGGCACCGAAAAACACTAAGGATTTTTGTGTTCATACTCCCAACCGCTACGTAGTAGGGCTGTGTATTGGCAACAGTCTGGCAACAGTGTGGCGATACGATACATATCACGATACAGGGGTTACGATTCAATACATTGTGATATTTTGTGATACAGTAAGCAAAGCCTTGTGACATCCCACTCATAGCCCTCATTATATTCAGGTGTTTGTAAAGTAGTGTTAACAACACTGCTGTCTAGCTGTTGGGGGTTTTAACAAACTTTGATACAGTGTTTTTGAGAATGGTGGTGTGTTCCTTATACAATGACACAAAAATAGATTCTTAACAAATCGCAAATATATGACTTTGCTTATAGTATCGCAATATATTGATTACTTAACCATAACTCCTGTATGTCAGATTTTTCTAAGTAAGAGTAACCTACCTCAGATTTTGTATTTGTACTCAACCTGCTTTGTATTCCAGCCAAATTCAACTTTACTGACTGGGTCAGTGACATTAGCTGTACTATTGAGCAAGGGCTTTCTCCATTCACTGACCCTGGTACAGTTATTAACTCTACAGGTTTCCTTACCGGCGTTGTTGACCAGGATAATGTGCTCTATACCCTCAGAACAGGCTGCTCTGGATGCTCTGACGACGCTCTCCGGTCCTTCCACCTGACCCAGGTCCGCCACCACACACTCGACCACCAGCCCCGCTTTACCTGCCTCCGACTCGGCCAGCTCCGCCTGCAGAGCCCGCAGGTCGTCGGCGGAGCGGGCCGCCAGAACGAGCACCGAGCCCGGCTTCACCAACCGAGACATGTCCCTCGCTATAGCCCGACCAAAGCCTCTGGAAGCCCCGGTGATGATGCAGAGCGCCCGGCCCAGGTCTGTGCGCTCAGTGGACGACATGCTAAAGAACTGTGGAGGAAGCGGGACTGTGTGTGTGTGTGTTTGTTTGGCCACTGCGTGCACTCTACTCTTCTTCATGAATTTCAGCAGCAGTGTAAATCCATTTGCTGCCTTGTCGCCATCTCTCGGTTCCACACTAATTCACACACTACTTACATCTATTTATATAGGATAACTGTCTATTTATTTATTATGTAATTACACTGGAGATCTCTCATAATTATGACTTGGCATCTCTTTCATATTTTTGGTTGCATTATTAAACTCAACAGGTTCACTATTAACATTTTATTTGTTCCGGTCAGCTGTGGAATCAGAATCAGAATCAGCTAACATACATACAAGGAATTTGCCTTGCTAAGTTGGTGAATAATAATGAAACATTTATGACTTTGGCGGTCCATGTTGGACACAAGACAAAAAAAGGAGACAATATATACAACTATAAAAAGAGAGACAATATGTATAATATGGCCAAATACTTCAATGAATGCTTACATAGTGGTCAACTGATATGGGTTACGGATGGGCAATAGGCCTATTGAATGCTGATAGCAAAGTCATGTATAATTGTATTATTCCATGGACATTACAATCTAACATACATCTAATACATTAAACTGCATTATTATTACATCATATATTCACAGTTATAAGCGGTGTTCAGTTAGTGGCAATCCTAAATTCCACCACTAGATGCCACTATATTCTACACACTGGCCCTTTAATAGATCATCGGTTGAAGAATATTGTTTCATATGAATTGATATGGGACCAAATTAGAGGAGAATGACCAGAAATGTTTAAGCTCCACTGCTTTGAACAACACAAACATAATTCGAAAAAAACAACTTGTGTTCCACCCTCTATGTTGTAAATGTGTCAAAAATACAACTTTATTCTCAGAAATATGAAGCTATTTTTTAAAGGGAGGCTGATAAAGTGCAAGGAATCCATCTGATTGGTTGCGAAAACAATTAATGTAGGAAGTAACATTCCTTAACTGATGGTCTAACTAATCACAAATATTAACTAAGACACAAGAATGGCTCCTACTTCTCTGTAAAGTACACGTAAGTATAGAATACCTTTTCTGACTTTATCAAAGAACTTTTAACCCCTTATATTCCAGCAAGGCCAAACAACCAGAGTGAAAATCAAAGGTGACCATGCACTTTCAGTTCTGGCTCCTCAACTTTGCCTTCCCCTCAGTGTGAGATTGACTCCACTGCAGCTTATAACTGCTTCCTAAAGCCCTACTTTTACAAGATTGCCTACATTTAAAGCTGCAGCAGGCCATTTTATAAAAAACATGTTTTTGTCATATTTACTGAAACTTTCTTTATATCCTGACAGTAGTACATGGGACAGATAATCTGTGAACAAATCAGGTTCCTCTGGTTCCTTCTAGTGCTCCTAATAGGATTTGCAAGAATCCACCGGGCTTGAACGAAAACAACCAATCAGACCCAGAAAGATATATAGATTTTTTGGGTTGGAGGCTTGAAGATAGTTGATTGTTTAGTCTCATTCCCAGGGCGTCAAATACAGATGCTTTGAGACCCTGGGAATAAGACCCAACAATCAACTATCTTTCTCGCCTCTTTTATTCTTTTATTATTTTCATTCTTTTATAATATTCTTTTATTATATTTCATTCTTATGAATATTATATTCAATTTCTGATAATAGACCCTCCTGAATGTTACACACTGGACCTTTAAAGGTACAGCTGGTGATTCATCTTTCTGTTTATTGTACACAAATGCCATGAACAGATGACCTTTTCTGTGGATCTCAGCATCTCCCAAATATATATTTTTTACACCTGTAGTTTTTAACAACGATTCTCAAACAGGAGGAAATTAAAGTGCATTTGACAGGGACTACTTTCAGCAGAATTAATGCACATATGGATAATAAGTATTTGGGGCAGCAGGTCGGTGTATGTAGGAATGAGTCAAAACAGTGTGTGTGTTCATGGTAATGAAGGAACCCAGTGTAACAGTGTGATGTGTTTTTAATAGTTTTTGGACAACAATGAAACTCTATGGCATAGAGGAAGAATATATATACACACACACACACAATACTTGTTAGTAGATGCATTCATTGTTGGGTTTGGGACTTTTAATGACAATGGTGCCCCCATGTTCGAAAAAAGACGCAAAAGTGCACTCTTGGATGCCGCTATGGTAGATGAAACATGTTAAAGATGCCCTTCCAGTATACAAAACACAACGAAGGGTGTTAATCCTAAACATGACTAAGCTATTTCACCATAAATGCATCCTAACTTTCTCTCATATTTAAGTCCGCCACATTTCTTATCCACATTTAGACAGTCTGGGCTGTAGTATCAGTAGTGTCTCTGTGGAGTGTCTAACCTTGACATTAACCACACAGAGTGAAAACAGAAGGGATACTGTTCTCAGAGTGTACCCTCTTTTAGGGACGTTTAATTTAATACAGCATGCTACAAACAGCCATTTCACTAGACTGTTATTTAGTATTTTCAAGATTAAGTGATTAAGACAAAAAAAGCTGCGTACCAGCTGAGCAAAATTTAGGAAGCATGGTTGGATTATTTGACCCCTGAAATAACCCCTGACATTTAAAACGAAATGGAGACAGACAGGAGAGGCTTTTTTCTGTTTATTTCACTAAAGTTATAATAAACAAAAACTTAGACAACTGCTTTCAACAAAAGTTTTTCAATTTCATTCAAGACTTGGATATCCGCTTCATAATCAAATCAGAGGCTTTAACATATATTAATCACCCAACATATTCACGTCTCATTTCTACAGTAAAACAGCAATGTTGGTAAAAAAAATTCAGTAAGTCACACAGTCGAAATGTGAATGTGCGCACACACGCATGCATTTGCAATCCTAGGTGTGTAAGAAAGAGTCTGTACCACTGAAACATTAAAATCATCAAATGTCTGTAATAACCACAATATTAACCAACTAATGTTGGGACAATGTAGATAGAGTTTGAATTTAAGTTAATCATGTCCTGTAGACAAAATGGTAAAAAGTCTCAATATATAATTTCTTCATAATCACATAATATCTTCAAAAGCAATCAGTTTCCTCATGATACTACCTATGACTGTATGGGACTGTTTGTACCCAGCAGCCTACTTTCTGCCCCTGCTTAGTGGCGTTATATTTCAAATCCTTCATCAAGCATGTATCAAAACCTACTTTCACCTCAACTATATGACACAGATGAACCTATTTTAAACAAATGACAGATGCATATTTTACAGGATGTCATCTTTGTAAATTTAGATCAAATAGGAATGTAAGGCAGTCACACGACAATAAAGGAATGTTAACAAATCCAACATGTGAAGTAATGACAGTAAAATTATGGCTGACAACATCTCACAATTAGGTCCCTACTATCCAAAACAGAACCAGCTGTAAGTGTTTGTATGTGTGAATAAATACAGCAGAAGGCTGAACTACATGTTAGATTCACTGTGTCCACGTTTGTCGTTTTCAAAATCGCTATCCTGGGAGATGAGCTTGTAAGGTTTCTTCCTCTCCTTCTCTTCCAGCACTGAGTTTCCCATCTCCACGTCTTTGCTGCGGAGCTCGTGTCGAGACAGGAACTCCACGATGCCGGCTCCGATCGAATCCCCCAAAACGTTGGTCGTGGTACGCAGACGGTCCCTACACACCGGCAAAAAACAGAGAATGAAAAGGGAAAATAAGTGGGAAAACATGTGGGATACACAGGTAACTCCAGATTTGTTGGCAGCGTTATTTTTGCTGGTTTTCTTTTTCAGTTGACCTTTCCTAAGCCCCATCCTTTTTTGTTCTGTGCTCCAATAACAGTCGAGCAAACCTTGGTCAGAACCTCGGTCAACTTTCTTCTTTCCTGTACTTAGATAAGCTATGTGCTAGGCTAATTATATTGTCACATCTTAGCTACCTAGCTAATATTAACAAAACACTGACAAACCAGCTAGCTAATCTACATTAAGTGTTAATTAGCTAGCTTACTCGCACAAGCTAACTACTGTACCTCAATTGTTAGCTAGCTAGTTACATCTAAAAGCTAATAACAGCAAAGAAATTACAACAATCGTTATTTAGCTAGTTAGCTAACTAAACGAGCCTAGCATTTCTAGGTAGGCTACAGGAAAGGAGGAAGTTGACTAAGTTCTATATGACAACTAGCTCTTCATGACAGCACTCGCTATTAGACGTTATAGAATTATAGAAAATCGTTTTTAGACTTTTGGGAAATATGCTTTTTGTCTCTCCTGGCCATAAGTATTCTGTAATGTAATGCTACAACCAGAAATAAACACTTATTAAAAGCTCCTTAATGGGACTGGGAAGAAAAGACACAATTTCAATCTGACAGATTGATTCTAACACTTGTTAATCCTGAGGTGAAGCTCAACCTGAAATCTAGGCTAAGTGTCTTGAGCATTGACAGAAAGTGAAGCCAATGCGTAAGTGTATTAAACCTTGATGAGTTTGAGTTTATGGTCTCAATTTAGGAAAGTATGGTCCCATTTAGAATAAAATAGATGATAAA